AAATTTCTCAAAGAACTAAAAGTCAATCTACCATTTGATCCATCAATCCCACTACTGGGTAATTACCCAGAGGAAAAGAATTCGTTTTATCCAAAAGACACCTGCACTGGAATGTTTATTGCAGCACAATTCACAATTGCAAAGATGTGGAATCAACCCAAGTGCCCATCAATTCATGATTGGACTTATAAAATGTGGTATATGGATAGCATGGAGTAGTACTCAGACATAAAAAAGATAAATGAATAACATTGCAACAATCTGGATGGAATTAGAGTTTATTCTCCTAAGAAGTGTCTCAAGAATGGAAAAAGAAACACTGTATGTACTGACTATTAAATTAGAACTAACCAATGAGCAGACATGTGCACAGAGGGAAGTAAAACTCAGTGGAAACCAATCAGGGGCGACAGGGGAGGATGGAAGGGGCAAAAACCTACCTGAAGGGTACAATAAACACTATTTGGGTGATGAGCCACTTATAACCCTGACTCAAGCATAACAAAAATGATGCATGTAAGCAAAAACATTTATACCCCAAAAATATTTTGAAACAAAAAAGGAATAATAGTCATCCAATTGATTTGGAAGTAGTATCTCATTGAGATTCTGATTTGGATTTCCCTGATCATTAGAAATGTTGTGCATCTTTTCATGTGCTTATTGGTCATTTGCATATTTTCTTTGTAGAAATGTCTATTCAAGTCCTCTGCCCATTTTTGAATTGTTTTATTGTTATTGTTGAGTTGGAGTGATTTATAGTATATATCCTGGAAAATATTCCTTATGAGACATAACATGTGCAAGTGTTTTCTCTCATTATGGGAACTGCCTTTTCCCTTTCTTGTAGAGTCCTTTGATGTAAAAAAGTTTTAAGTTTTAATGAAGCACAATTTTATCTATTTTTTTATTTTGTTGCCTATGCTTTTACTGTCATATCCAAGTAATGCTTGGTAAGTTCAGTGTTATGAATATTTCCATGTTTTCTTCTAAGAAATATATGGGTTTAGCTTTTATATCTTGGTGTTTAATGCATTTCAAGTTAATTTTTGTATATGGTGTAATGTAAGGATAGAACTTTATGCTTTTGTATGAGGATATCCTGTTTTCCCAGCATTATTTGTTGAAAACACTGTCCTTTCCCATGTTGAATGGTTTTGGTACCCTTGTCAAAAATCAGTTGATCACATATGGGAGGATTTATATCTTGGCTCTCTATTCTATCACATTGGTCTATATGTCTGTCTTCATCCCAGTACCACCCTGTTTTGATTAATGTAGCTTTATAATAAGTTTGAAATCAAGAACTATGAGACCTCCATATTTGTTCTTTTTTTTTTCAAGATTAAATTATCCATTTGGAGTCCCTTGCAGCTCCACATGAATTTCAAGATGAGTTTTTCTATTTTTCTGCAGGAAATATGGTTGGAATTTTAATAAAGATTCCATCAAAATGTAGATCTTCTGTAGGAGGGACAATATTGAATTTAAAAAAATTAAAAATTGCTAAAAGAAATTAAAGAACATCAATGTAAATCGAAAGGCATCCAATATTCACGGACTGTAGGGACAGTTCGTGAATATTGCATGCCTCTTGATTCTTGATTTACATTTTCTTCTTCACCTTCAGGGATGCTAGCATTTTTTAAGCTTTTGATGTGCACATGTAAATTTATTCCTAAATATTTTATTCTTTTTAGGCTATTGCAAATACGAAAGTTATATTAATTTCATTCCAGAATGTTCATTGTTAGTACTCAAAATGCAACTGATTTTTTGAGTTCTGATATTGTAGCCTGTAATTTGGTTATTAGCTATAACAGGGCTTTTTGGTGAAATTTTAAGGTTTTTTATATGTAAGATTATACCACCTGTGAAAGGAAATATTTTAATTATTAGGGTATGACAATGAAATAATACCTACCTACCTCCAACCCCACGTTAAGTGTCTGGCCAGAAATACTGACCATTTTCACCCTAACTGAGCATTGCACAGGCTTTTCAAAGTAGAATTTTAAGAGTCTTTAGTTAATAATAGACATTCATTGGAGAATATTTTGAAAAGAAAAATAAAAAGTCTTCAGTGATTACAGCAGCCAATATAATCACTTTTAACAAATTATGATTCCTATCTTTTCAGGAATATATGTTAACCAAATGTCATCATGCTTTATATGTTACATATAATTATCATAATTTCAATGATTTTAATAATATTGACTATTCTTCCAAAACAACCTCTTTAATGATCCTAAGAATTTTAACATATGTATGTTCTGTAATTTATCTGATTCAGCAAAATTATGGAAGGATGATGAAGAGTAAGCCTTGCAATCAGGAATAGCACCAAAAGGGAGAAATCCATGGGGATTTGCAGTTATCATTTCTCTAAACACACGGGAATATTTTACCACAATTTTTGTTTCCTTCTATTTATTTCTTCATATTTTATGATAGAATATTGATTTGCAAGACTTATTTTGTTCTGTGGTATATGACATATAGTAGTAAAATGTGAGATAAAATGTTGAATCAAGAATTGGACACAAATTTTTAAATTTTTATTCTTTCTTATCATTTCTGATGTAGTAAGAATGTATTCTTAATGATTCCCTGAAAAATTAAGGAGTAGAGGTCGTGGGATGAACCTAAGGCTATCTGACTGTAAAGGAACATGAAGCTAAGGTCTTTAAATATATAGAGGATAGATGGATTAATAAAGGCCTATGGTGGCCATGTATGTGTGACAGTGTGTGTGTGTGTGTGTGTGTGTGTGTGTGTGTGTGTGTGTGTGTGTGTGTATGTCTATGAGAGAAAGAGAGAGAGAGAATCTGTGTGTGTATATAAAGTGTGCTGTGTTTCAGGTCTCAGGTCTTGGAGGTCAAACCTGGAGAATTTTTGATTGATAGGTGCCCTTCTTCATGTAGGGGCAGTTCTTCACATGGCTGATCTGTGAAGAATTCTGAGTGTTCAAGTTCACCACCACAATCTATTAAGCGATTCGTCTCTGGAATGCTGGGGGTACTAGGCTGCTATGACTTTAGTGCCTTCACTGTCACGAAAACCAGACTTTTTGAGTGGGGATCCTAGGAAGGAGAGTCTCAAGGTGTGACCAAAACTGTGTTATCTGACACTGTGATTGTCTTTGGGTAGCTTATTTTCAAATTTTGGATGGCAGAAATCATACATTTCTCTAAGGGTTTATGTTTTAGATGTCATGTGAGGATACAGGGAGTAGTAAGTTACCTACTGATTAAAGTCCCTTTATTTTGCCTCTGAAGTGCATGGCATGTGTAGCAGTCTATATGAATCACTTGGTGATGACACTATTTGTAGACACCTGGTCTCAAGTGCTGAAGTGATTGTTCTATCCTTGCAGGGTCATGGCCAGTGGTGATCTTAGCCCAAAACCCTCCTTCCTGGCAGGAGCCGTGGCAGTTCTGGGAAACTAACTTGCTTAACTGAGGGAAATGATGTTGGGTGGATTCAGCACTCCTGTACCTTCTGAAGCATGACTGGTGACTGCCCCAAAGCTTTTGAGTTTCTCTTCTTTCCCTTCCTTTTCTTCCTCATTCTCCTCTTCTTTTTCCTTCTCTAATTATGAAATCACATTCTTGGAAAACTTCCTGATCATTTGGCTCAGACAAGGAAGCTCTAGCAACATCAATCAAAACAATGCACATATGTAGCCTGCCCCATTGATTGCAGGAACCGTTTTTTAAAAAGATTTGAAAGGATTAGTCACTAAAGGCATTGGCAACATATGTCTTGTGTCACCAGCATGCACCAAATTGGAGAGAAAAGAAGTACACATTGGAGAGTGAGAAGAAAATGCAGCAGGCTGAGGGGGTTATGGAAGAGAGAAAATAAACATGCAAACAAATTTAAAAAACACTTTATTTCAAAGACTTAAAACCTGTTTGGGAAAAGAGTGGGCAGAAACAAGCATATAGGATAAACCTAAATACAGATTTTCCCCCAGACTCAGACTTGAAGTGCTCTGACCTTTTCCCTTCCCCAGTCCTACTCTTAATTATTCACATGTGGTGGTGTGAGAGTTTGCATCTTGTTCTCCACTGTAGGGACATTGGAGGGAGTCACATAGACCTGGTTCAGTCAATAGATTTTGAGTGAATGCTTGTGATTTGTGTTCACTTCTCTCCGGATCTTTAATGTAGTTATTAAGAGTGAATCTTTCTTAAATGAAATGACTGTACTGCACATCTTTGAGGATTGAAAGGAGAAAACTGGAATCTGTCCTGGGAGAGACGTGTATCTACGAATGGATAGAGAAGACAGCATCAAAGAGGCAAGGAATACAAGTCAAATATTGGATTCTATGGAAGAGGGGTGGAGGTGGAGGAGAAAGTTCCAGGCTTGGACAGGGTGAAGTGACTGCCCAGTGCAGGCAGCCCCGACCCTGACAGGCAGGCCGTCTTCTCCCCTGTGCATACAGAAAGACTCAAACCCAGGGTGGAAGGTGACCTGTGGTCACACAGCTTGTCAAAGATAGAAGTAGGGGCAGAACTCAGGCCTTTTTTAGGTCTCTCCTTCCTTCTAGCACATCGGCAGATTATACGAGGAAAGCAGAGGAGGAGACAGGTTTACGTAAAACAATATGGCAGTCAGTTAAAGGGGAAAGGCAGGCAGATGTGTGATTCAGGAAAGGTGTAAGATAGGAAGGGGCCATTGTCCCCTGTCAAGAAAGAGAGCCTTTGACCACCAGTTACAGAATGTCTCCATTTCTCCCCCTGAGAATAGTCACTGAAACTGAGAGCCAAGGCAGGGCCTCTGTGAGTCAGGAGTGCTTAACCCAGGAGGAAATCTGGAACAGGATATTTCCTATGTTGAGAGTGTCTGTCCAGCTGGTTATGGAGAAATTTGCATGTTTTCTAGGAAGTTATTGGACCTGCCCAGTTTTATGCAATGGCATTTTCCCCTGGGTGGGGCAGCGGGCCCTATAAAAAGACCCTCTGCTGCCCAACTGCCAAACCCCTGGTGTTCAAGTCCCATCTACTGTGGAGAAGCTGGTGAGTGTGATTTCTTGGGTTTCTCTGTTTTATGCTGCTCTCAGGTTGAATTTAGTCTGAAGACAGCAAGTCTGGTCGATCCAAAATTATGATCATGGGTTTGATGTTACATAGTTGATGGAAGCTTAGGATTGGAGCACAATGATTTTAGTTTTTTGTTTTGTTTTGTTTTCTCTTTTGGTAGATAGTTTGATGTCCATTGGACAAAGACATTAATAGGTAAGTTTTAATTAGAAGAAAGAAAAGAACAAAGTATTGTTCTCTTTTCCATATCTTTTTGATGTCCATTTCAAAGGCTTATGTCTTAGCAGGTGTGAGATCCTTGAACTCTTTCTGAACAGCCTTTTGCTCTGTGGCCAAGTCAGCCTCCTGAGACTTTATAAGAGATTGTGATGACAGGAATTGCTTGTGTCATTGCCCAGCATTTCTGAACTTCTGAATGCCTTTTTGAAGATGTGAATTCATGTGATGTTATTCATGTGAATAACATTCCTTCGTTCTTTATAACAGATTTTTTTTTTTTTTTTAAAATGGTATGAGAAAAGACATGATTTTCCCAGGGCTGATGAAGCAATTTGGGAAAGTGGAAGGGAGAAGCCACAGAGACATAGAAAAGGAGTTAAGAGATTAAAGTATATTCTTGGAGATTAGGAAACTAATATCCCACGGTATTACATAGGCGTTGGCCCCTCTCTGTAGGAGTATCTTCTTGTAAACACTGTCATTTAATTTCTTTCAGACTCTGAGATTCCAGAAAGATGTCTTATCAACAGCAGCAGTGCAAGCAGCCCTTCCAGCCACCTCCTGTGTGCCCACCCCCAAAGTGCCCTGAGCCCTGCCCACCCCCAAAGGTCCCTGAGCCCTGCCCACCCCCAAAGGTGCCTGAGCCCTGCCCACCTGTGCAGTGCCAGCAGAAGTGCCCTCCTGTGCAGCCTCCTGCTCCTTGCCAGCAGAAATATCCGCCCAAGAGCAAGTAACAGCTTGAGGATGCATCAGGACCGTGAAAGGAGAAGGACAATTGTCTCTCCCAGTTCCGAAGCTCCATCTTCACGTTCATTCTCTTCAAAGCCCCTCACGGATACAGAAGAAGCTTCTCCACCATTAGCCTGTAAAATGGCTGTGATGGTTCCTGCAGCAAGTTCTCCTTCCTGAGGCTGTCATCCTGCTCGTGTTCAGGCAGTGACTGAGGAAAGGAAGTCCTCAGCTGTGCCAGCACCCCAGACCTTCAGACGGAAGTGTGGCGGCTCTCTCCCTGGGTGCTGTGAAAGAATTCTATGGATGGCTTCTGTGTGTATCTGTCACCTGGGCAGGAATTTCTACCACCCGGGCAATTGTACCTTTTCTTTCACTTCCTGAGTAAATACAAATAAGTATACACACATGTGTGATGCAGTAACTATTTTCTTTCTCTCCACATCAGCTTTGTTAGCAATATTATATCATCATTTAGTTTATTTCTGTCTTTCTCTGATCCCCAGGGCCACTCTCACAATCAGTGTTATCTGAATTTTGTGTCATATCAAAAATGATTTCCATATCATTTCAAACCTATGTTAATTTACTTATCTACAATGTTTGATTTGGGGAACAATTTGTTTAACTTCTTAGAATTTTAATCTCTCTACTATAAAGTGAAGAAAATAATATTTACATCACAAACTTGTCTTAGGTATAACATTGAATTAATATGTTTTATTTGCTTGGCACAATGCCTAGTACACACTTAGCACTCAGTTAATAGTAATGGCAGTTTATTAGCAGCAGTAGTTCATTATTATCTCCATCAACATCTTCATTACCACCACCACCATCACCACCATCGTATTTACTCCAGCAAGAGAGTGGCTTGGAGATAACCAATATAGGAAATAAGAAGATTATAAGTTAAATTATATAATTTTGTATACTTGTATCAGAATATATAAAGAACTCCTACAACTTAAAAATAGAATGAAAAATAACCCAATTAGAAATGGGAAAAGAATTCGAATAGATATTTCTCAAAAAAAATCATACAAATGAATAATAAGCACATGAAAAGATGTTTACCATTATAAGTCATTAGGGACATGCAAATTAAGATTATAATGAAGTACCACTTTGCATCCACCATGATAGCTATAGTAAAAAGGACAGATGATATCAAGACTCAATGAGATTGGTGAGAAATTTGTGCCCTCCTATGTTGCTGTTGGAAATATAAATGGTGCTGCCATTTTGGAAAATACTTGACCATTCCACAAAATGTGAAACAGAGTTATCATATAACCCAGCAATTCTCCTCATAGTTACAAACCTAAGAGAACTGAAAATATATGTTTATAGAAAACTTGTACATTAAAGTTCATAGCAGCATTATTCATCATAGTCAAAAAATGGAAATAACCCAAATGTCCATCAATTGATGAATAAACAAATGTGGTATCAATCATAAGTGCTAAGACACCAAATTCAAAAGTCAATTCTTCTGGAAACTCCTTCAATTCTCTTTCTACTACTTCAAAAAGGCAAGAGTGAAGCTTTCATGAAACAGAGGAGGATGGGGCTGAACGACTTTATTCAGGAGATTGCCAATAACTCCTATGCATGCAAGCACCCTAAAGTTCAGTCGATCTTGAAAATCTCCCAGCCTCAGGAGCCTGAGCTTATGAATGCCAACCCTACTCCCCACCAAGTCCTTCTCAGCAAATCAACCTTGGCCTGTCATCCAACCCTCATGCTAACCCATCTGACTTTCACTTCTTGAAAGTGATTGGGAAAGGCAGTTTTGGCAAGGTTCTTCTAGCAAGACACAAGGCAGAAGAAGTGTTTTGTGCAGTCAAAGGTTTACAGAAGAAAGCAATCCTGAAAAAGAAGGAGGAGAAGCATATTATGTCAGAGCGGAATGTTTTATTGGAGAATGTGAAACACCCTTTCCTGGTGGGCCTTCACTTCTCTTTCCAGACTGCTGATAAACTGCACTTTGTCCTAGACTCCATTAATGGTGGAGAGTTTTTCTACCATCTCCAGAGAGAACGCTGCTTTCTGGAACCACGGGCTTGTTTCTATGCTGCTGAAATAGCCAGTGCCTTGGGTTACCTGCACTCTCTGAACATCGTGTATAGAGACTTAAAACCCGAGAATATTTTGCTAGATTCCCAGGGACATATTGTCCTTACTGACTTTGGACTCTGCAAGGAAAACATTGAGCACAATGGCACGACATCTACCTTCTGTGGCACACCTGAGTACCCCGCACCTGAGGTGCCGAGTAAGCAGCCCTGCGACAGGACCGTGGACTGGTGGTGCCTGGGGGCCGTCTTGTATGAGATGCTCTATGGCCTGCCTCCTTTTTATAGCTGAAACACAGCTGAGATGTACGACAACATTCTGAACAAGCCCTTCCTGCTGAAACCAAATATTATGAATTCTGCAAGACACATCTTGGAGGGCCTGCTGCAGAAGGACAGGGCAAAGTGGCTGAGGGCCAAGGACGACTTTATGGAGATCAAGAGTCATGTCTTCTTCTCCCTAATTAACTGGGATGATCTCATTAATAAGAAGAGTACTCCTCCTTTTAACCCAAATGTGAGTGGACCCAGCAACCTGCGGCACTCCTATCCCGAGTTTACTGAAGAGCCGGTCCCCAACTCCATCGGCAGGTCCCCCAACAGCATCCTCATCACTGCCAGCGTCAAGGAAGCAGCCGAGGCTTTCCTAGGCTTCTCGTACGCACCTCCCATGGACTCCTTCCTCTGAACAGTCTTAGGGTTGCCTTTGAAGGATCTTGTGTGTGTTCAATGTTTCAGTTAGCCTTTTGGCGGAGCTGCCAGCTGACAGGACATCTTAAAAGAGAATTTGCACATCTCTGGAAGCTTAGCAATCTGCCTGCACACTGTTTGCTGCAAGCCTTTCGAAGAGCACATCCTCCTCTCAGTGAGCTCACGAGGTTTCCACTTCTATTCTTACTTCCAACATGGTGCTCCCTCTGAAATGAGCGTTAGAGCGCTGCCTTAGACAGATGCAGGAGTCTTGTTAGAAGGAAGGCGCTGTTCTAGGAGGGGTCTCCTGCCAGTCTATCCAGGCTGTGATAACGAATATTATGACATGTGCCTTTTCTGAAAAGATCGTGTTAGCTCCAAAGCTTTTCCTATTGCAGAGTGTTTTCAGTTCTTTATTTTTCCACGTGGGCTTACTGTGTGAACAGTGGAATGAGTGTGATTTGCGTGATCACAGATGGATTTTGTTATAAGCATCAATGTGACACTTGCAGGACACTACAACATGGGACATTCTTTGTTTCTTCCATATTTGGAAGATAAATTTATGTGTATACTGGGTTTTTTTTGTAAGATATAGTGAATAACTAAAATTTATTGAAATGGTCTTGCAATGACTTATATTCAGATGCTTAAAGAAAGCATTGCTGCTACAAATATTTCTATTTTTAGAAAGGGTTTTTATGGACCAATGCCCCAGTTGTCAGTCAGAGCCATTGGTGTTTTCATTGTTTAAAAGGTCACCTGTAAAATGGACATTATTTGTGAGGTTTTTTTGCATTCCTGATAATTGTATATATTGTATAAAGAAAGTCTGTACATTGGGTTATAACACTAGTATATTTAAACTTATAGGCTTATTTGTAATGTAAACCACCATTTTAATGTACTGTAATTAACATGGTTATAGTATGTACAGTCCTTCCTTCCTGCCACACAACTTTTTGTGTGTGTGATAAACCAATTTTGGTTTGCAATAAAACCTTGAAAACTAAAAAAATTAAAAACAAATATAGTATGTCCATACACTGGAATAATATTTGGCAATAAAAAGGAATGAAATACTGATATATGCTAAAACATGGATTAATATTTAAAATATTATGCCAAGTTAAATTAGCCAAACATAAAGGAACATATATTGTATAACACACTTTATATGAAATGTCCAGAATCAGCAAATCTGTACAGACAGAAAGTAGTCCAGTGGTTGCCAGAGGCCTGAAGGAGGGAGAACATGGATTGACAACACATTGATATGGAGTTTGGGGGAGAGGTGATTAAAGTATTCCAAAATTAGATTGTGATGATGATTGTGCACCTGTGAATATACTAACAAGTACCGAATGTACACTTTCAAAGTGTGAATTTTATGGTATGTGAATTCTAGCTCAATAAAGCTACTTTAAAAGAGGAAGAAAAATTGGCTCTTTTGCAAGTAGAAATGCGAGGAAATAGAGGGGGAAACCAGAAATCTGCAGAGCTGAGAAAGTTGATTATTTCTAGATATTAAAGAGAGAGAAAATCAACAATGGTCTCAAGAGACAAAAGTTCATTAAAACTCAAGTTTGCCACCAAGATTAGATTATGGTTTGATGCCTTCCCATCTGTTTATTTTTCCAAATAGTGTGAAAGAAACCACAGGTGAGAAGAAAGACATGGGAAAAGGAAGCAAAGGATATTGTATTTTTCTCTTATTCTTAAAGACAAAATAGGCCGGGCGTGGTGGCTCACGCCTGTAATCCTAGCACTTTGGGAGGCTGAGGAGGGCGGATTGCTCAAGGTCAGGAGTTCGAAACCAGCCTGAGCGAGACCCCATCTCTACCAAAAATAGAAAGAAATTAATTGACTGACTAAAAATATATATACAAAAAATTAGCCGGGCATGGTGGCGCATGCCTGTAGTCCCAGCTACTCGGGAGGCTGAGGCAGTAGGATCACTGAGCCCCGGAGATTGAGGTTGCTGTGAGCCAGGCTGATGCCACGGCACTCACTCTAGCCTGGGCAACAAAGTGAGACTCTGTCTCAAAAAAAAAAAAAAAGACAAAATAGTGCCGGCTGCGGTTGCTCATGCTTGTAATCCTAGCACTCTGGGAGGCCTAGGTGGGAGGATCACTTGAGGTCAGGAGTTTAAGACCAGCTTCAGCAAATGGGAGACCCCATCTCTACCACATATAGAAAGAAATTAGCTGGACAACTAAAAATAGAAAAAATTAACTAGGTATAATGTTTCACCCCTATAGTCCCAGCTACTCAGGAGACTGAGGCAGGAGGATGGCTTGAGGCCAGGAGTTTGAGGTTGCTGTGAGCTGATGCCACATACTCTACCCAGGCAACAGAGTGACACTCTGTCTCATAAATAAATAAATAATAAAATAACGACAAAGTGGGGGGGAGGGGAACTGTCATCAACAATATTAGGCAAAAGCTATTTTCAAGAGCTTACTGTTATAAAAATAACCTGCAGTCTTTCTGTACCACAAGGTGTACAATCTACCCTCCAAAACTCCTTCCAGCATTTGGAACACAGAAGAACAAAGTTCCCTAAACATTTTGCTATCTTTAATTTGGTGGTATCGAT